CTGTGAAACAGCTGTGAGATCGTTTGCATAAGCGGAAAAAATTGTGTCATCTATCTCACAGGGAGTGTGTGGAAGGAAAGACGAGTTAATGATCATTTCGCCTGCTCAGTGCTGCAGATGTTTGAATGATTTTGTAATCATCTGTAAACTAATTGATATCTTCATATTGGTGTTCTCAGTGTCAAGGAGAGATTCTTTAACAGACAGTGAGTTAATGTTTTCTATATGAGCAGTGTTGAAGAAAAATTGTAAATCTGTTGCAAGCTCATTGCTACTGCGATATTTCATTTGTGGCACAAGAAAGGGCGCTGTGAGAAACTGTGGATGAAAGGATTCTCTTGTATATATCACGGTACTTAAGTTGTGAGGATTTTTTAAGTCTACTATCAATTCATAATTCTGCCTTATTCATGAAGAGGCCTACTGAAGATATTTGGATGTGTTTCTTTTTGTGTCTGTCATATGATGATGGCAATTGTGGATAATTTAAAGTAAAAAAAATCAACAGACATTTCATTTCACTGCTTCAAAAGGAGAATTATCAAAAATAATAGTAGCGTCATTGTTGGTCGTTTGAAATTACATACTGAACAGGATTTGAGATAATCTGCTTCTTTTTTAGTCACCACTTGGACAGATAAAAAAAAAAAAAGCATATTAAATGATATTGAGTTTATATCTGATCCACCTCTCGATCTGTTCTAAGTATGATTTATGAGGATTTTGCTTAATGGACTTTTTCCCCACTCTGCCAGCTTTGTCAGGGAGAAAAATGGCAATGTGACACTCTCTGTTAATACCAGTTGTTAAAACGGCATCAATTTTAATCATTTTTTTTTATATCATAAGACTTCCCATTAGGCAGTGGTGTGCTGTCAGAGATCGGAAACTGCAGAACATAATATAGGCAGAACATATTAGAGTGGGATCTTCAGGTGACATATGCTTGGATTTGATTTGCTGGCATTTAGATTTTTCTGGGAATGTATCCCTCCTAGAACTGTGGGAGCTTTTGAATTGTGACTGCGAGGTGACAAAACACTCCGATGGATAATTCTCGACTTTTTGACGAAGCTAATGAACTAAAGGTTTACTCAGTGATTTGTTGTGTCCCTTGGTAATCTGGCGTTGTGTAGGGGTGAATGGCTGTGCTGACCGTTTCTAACTGCGCACTGAGGAGAAAAACATTGCTAAGCAGCACAAGACTCTTGGGAAAATAAGTTTTATATGACGGAAACCATGACTCTAAGAAAACTGTCACAGAGCTAGAGAAGTGATACATCTGGATTTTGTTAATGCAGTAAAAGATTCAAAGGTCCTTCTTCTACTTGCCACTTCCAAGAAAACTGTTGGAAAAAGGAAGGGAACATTTTATATCCAGCATACTGTCAGGGAAAAGCTGAGTTATTGAGACAAGATCACTGAATAACTAGGGTGATTTTATATTCCCCACAAAAGAAATCAAAGGAGACATTACTAAAATAAATTCAAGAAATAAGCTCACCTGGTATAATACCAAATTTCAAGGGAGTCTTAACCCTGAATTAGCATTTAATTTCAAGGAAATTGTCCTGCGGGGATATCAGTGCCTGATGCTTTTCACAAATGAAAGTTAACTCTCCTTTGTGACAGTACATCTTCCCTCCATGACGTAAGCTGCCATCTTCAAAGAAACTGTATTCCAGGAATCGTTTAATTTGATATATTGGCAGGTAGACACAGTTTTTACACTGACTGAATTCACCAGGCCGGGTCAGCAGGAAAAAATACGATTCAGTACTTGATTGTGTTAAATTTAAGGATATAAATCAAATACTATCAAAATCGTATAATTTTAAGCATTCAAGCTCATATATAAGTGTGTATATGGCAATCATGGGAATTCGGAAGAAAATGAGGGCAGCAGAGCGCACTGATTGTGGCTGTCAGAGAGTGCTGGACATGTTTGATTACTACAGAATAAGGGATAATTATTATTATGAACTTGTTGAGGTAAGTGAAGGTGTATGCACATGCACACGCACATGCACACGTGCACAGAAACACACAGACTTGAGGGGAATTTGAAGACACTTCTTTTATGTACAGACACAGATGTGTCTATACATATTTTTTTTTTTTTTCTTTTGTTAACTTTGATTTGGATATAAATTTGGCTATCTATTAAAATACTGACAAATATTTTTTGGGGTAAGGTGAAAATAATGCTATGCTGAGATTTGAACTCGAACTTGAAGTTTAATGCCCAAAATGCACTCAGACGGTGGCAGATGGTTAAATTCCAGTCATGAAGAGATGTACTTTACCCCTATGGAAATACAAATCTAACAAATCTAAAACATGTCTTTTCTACTCTTAATTACTTCTGTTGTGCATACAGTATACCCGCACCCAGTTGCAGATGTTCTCTGTTGTGATTTCAGTCCAATGCTGGTCTTTGTTCACAGTATCTATGATTGAAATTGATTCAGAAGTTTGAATTTCCTTTTATGAGCCAGATATGCCCGTATTTATCATATCAAATCGCCAGTCAATCTGTTAGTGCTACCGTTCTATTTGTATAGTAGCAAAAGCAGAAATGTTTTGTGACTCTCTATTATTTACTGCATGACACATCTTAGATTTGTGTTTTTCCAATCATGTGTGACATTAAATGCCTTCCTACATCTTTACTATGCTCCAAAATCCCCGTAATTAAAGTTTGTAACCATCTTTGTGAAACAAAAGATTAAGTGTTGGTCTTGATCTTAAGCAGTGATCAATAAGATAATATCCTTGTAATACATGGGGATTTAGAATTAATGCCTTGTTATTATGTTGTGTGTGTTAATATTGAAATCAGGAGGATGTTTTGCAAAATTTCAAATCTAGGCAGGTTTAATCTTTTACTTATACCTGATCTGAACACAGCTGTAGAAAGTGTCTGATATAATGAAGAAATCAAACCAATCTAAAACTGATCTGAATGCGGCTGTAGAAAGTGCATGACATAATGAAAAAATCAAACCAATCTAAAACCGATCTGAACACGGCTGTAGAAAGTGCATGACATAATGAAGAAATCAAACCAATCTTATTTCACCCCGCAGTTCAAGACACAGCTTGACTGCACATTACAGGGTAATAGAAGCCCAAAATGAACAGATGTTCAACTAAGTGAATATAAATGAATACAACTGTATTGACTAATGTTCAATAGCAGCTACCGCAGAGCCTCTTGGGTGTGTGGTAAGGTTCACACTGGTTCTTGATTGATCGAGTCCATTTTGACTTGATATATAAATGACTTACTATAATTACCCACACATAATGAAGACTTTTTACTCAACAAGATGGTATTATCTGAAGTGAACTTGAGTCATTTTCAGGGCTTTGGAATCTCCAGTTTATTATTATCTGTGGCACAGCCAAACTAGTTAATAAGTTACAGATTTAATTTTTATTTTGCCTTTATCTTCTCACATTTTACCAACCAGGGCCATATCTACTGTGATTTTTAATACGTCCAGACTTCTTCATCTTGGTGTGAATAGGGTTAGAATAATGTGTTTGCTTTAAGACGTCATGTAATTGACCAGGGATAATATTTACATAGTGAGACATGGGGGAGCTTGGGAAAGTGATTTCTGTGAGAATAACTGGAATTGATTGCAATACAAGTAGACAAAGGAACACCTTAATGGACATTATCAGAAGTGTAGTCTATACTAACTTTAACGATTAAAAGCCAGGCTGATATCAACTAATGATCTGGGAGGGGGTTAGAAGTTATATTCCTGTGCTGATCAGTTTGAAGGTATAACAACATCAATTTGGCTGTTTCAGTGTAGAATTCTCACACTTTTTATTGCCCTTTTAATTATTAAATCCATTGTGTTATTTCATGTGCTCAAGCATTTCAACTAGTAGCATATGAATTTTTGTCTCGAAAGGTTTTTCTTGAGCAAAATGTTACCAATCAACAACAGACTCATCAAAGGTGTTGATTGAATGATAATGTCGGTTAGTTCACGGCACAAAAGCAATCTTACCTGTTCAAACAATTACACTCAATTAAGTTGGAATTGAAATAATAAGGCTTGGATAAGTGATTATAATGGAATGAAACAATAGCAGACAAAGGCAATGTTCCTTGTTAATATTAGGTAGGATTAAGCATGTCACAGCATGGGGGAATGTTTTAGTTATTCTTTCCAATATTTACAAGGCTGTATCAGGGGATATATAGTATGAGTATGGGAAAAAAATGAAAGTTAGTAAAGCCAAAAGAACATTTGGTATAGATGGTTGATATAAACAGTATTCCTCTGAATATATATAAAGGGAAGAAGAAAAAATTAAAAAAATAATGGCAATTGAATGACATGAACATTGGAAGCATTGAATGAAGCAGCATTTTGACACAGTTATTTATTGATTGCCATCTTGTTGATTAAAATATGAGAATACAAAGAGGCATGTAAATTAATGTTAACCTTAATCATGATGATAAATGGGCATAGCTTTTAGAAAAAGAAAGCAGCATGTAGTTATTATTAATGATAATAATATCTCAATAACGCTAGACTGTTCATAGTATTCACTCCTATAGTACACAACTGTTGTTGAATCGAACATTTTTTCTTGTTACTGTGATGTTTTCAAAAGCAGCATTCCTGTTATACTATGTGTCTTCTAGTAAAGGGAATAGTACGTTTTGTCCACATTGATGAATTGGGTTATAAATATGAAGATAAATTGGGGTCTTCGTCTTCCTAATGAAAACTCACTTAGGGCCTGGTCATAATAGAGAAATACATCATTGCCAGTATTGATGAACTGTCATTCTCATTTCCAGTTTATTTCCTCTTTTCAGAATTTCCCCACACTTGCGTGCAATATATCCTGCTTTCTAGAGAAAAGATGAATTGTTTTTATTGGAAAATCGACCTTTTTACTGACTCGTTAGGTACGAAATTCTTGGAATAACACTGAATTTTAGAAATCTTCCTTTGTTCTAGAATCAGTCAGACACAAGATTGGTTGAAGAACGCCAAAGACAGCACCAGCAACGAGCTGCATCTAAACAACACAATGACGTAAAGAGGACAGAATCTAACCAATCAAATCAGTCGTCTCCTGGTAACTTGGGTGAGTTGAGGCTATGGCAGTGGAATCAGCTGCTACAATTTTTATTCAAAAAACAACATGCTGTCCTTCCTTTCTATATACTCAAATGGTTTAAGACCCATGTATATACTGGTTTAAAACTAAACTATTCCATGACTAAATATCTGAATCATTCTATTAAGAATATCACTTCTGAGAATTTTAGTAAACTTTCCTGTGATTCCAGGCACCCCAGAGCAAGCCCGTGCTAACAGCAGTAACGTTCTGCCAGATCTTCTTCCCCAGCAGCCAGGGAACACCAGAGAAAGGGGAGGATCAGCTCCTCAGAGACCACAGGATAAGACAGTCTCAGAGGAGGTGAGTAGGTCATGTGACAGGTCATGTGACAGGTCATGTGGTTCAGTGGGGTCATGGCAGGGTCATGTGATAGGAGGGGTTGATGGACAGGAAGTCTGTGTCTGAAAAAGAAATGGCCCAATGAGAAAAGATCGTGTAGGTCATCAAAACGAGTATTTCTTGATTCAGAAATGAAAATAATTTTCCTTTGAAACATCACATTCAACTGATAGGTGAACATGCATCTTAGATGTAGAAGATTTTTACTTAAGAAATATCTACATGGCCACTCTTGATTTTGTTTGTCTGCACAGACTTTTTCTCCATCAGTTCACTTGCTTTGTTTAAAACAAAAAAATAGGTTGAAAGACAAGCTTCTCCATCTCACAACATATTCTGCAATGGCATAGACACTTGAGGCATTAGTAACCATCTTTAGCACCAGCTTGCTCTTCTTTCTCGGCACGTTTCCCCAGCGGTTCACCAGTCTTGTCGTCTAAAAGGAAAACTGTGTTGCTTCCGAGACAGTTGTAGAATTATGGATGACGCAGAGGCAATGTGTCTGATCCAGTTATGTCAAAAACGCCTTTAATTGCAATTATTGAATTCCAATACGTGTTTGTGCCCCTTGGGATAGACACTTTGGGTTTTGCCTAGATACTTCAGCACATGGTAAAGGGCTATTATTTTTATGATTTTTTTATGGAAATTGAATAACAAACTGATCGCAAACAAAAATACCATACCAAAACCAAAATGAAAAATTTATAATGTGCAATTGATAATGCCAAATTCAGTTTGTGGACCAAAAATTCAATTTCAACAAAATGTTTTACGCGTTTCTGCCCTATGAAATTCAATCCACCTGCAGCACCACTACGTGCACGCACACGCATGCACATGAACATGTGAGAATGTTGCACTTTTCTTGACTGCCTCTCTATTTCTTCATTGCTCACTTGAGTGTGGGAGGTGCTTGGCGGTAAGTTTCCCACTGTTTCTCAAGTTTAATTACCAGTGTTTGCAATTGAGCTGAAATCCGTTATTATTAACATGATTTATTTATGAATTGTTGCTATGAAAAAGTTGAAGTTTTGCTGAACAAATTGCTGCAGTTCAATATAATTGCAAGTTTTTACAGATCCAATGAAACAGTTTTATCAAATGAAATATTTATATGTGTGCTGAGCAGCTTCTGAAAAAAGTTCTGTTTGCATATAAGTGACTCAAAAGTCGTACATTTGTACTACTGTGTCATCTAAACTGAAAATGCTGTTCACAAACACTGGTGTCAGTTTAGTATTATGTAGCTTTTAGATGCTTATACATGTATGCATATATTTTTTCAAGCCCGTGCTATGATATATTCTCAGATAGTATCGATGTTGAAGTGGGTTAGCTTGAAGTCGCGTAATGAGTGTTAGACCTTTATATAGCAAAAATTACTTTTCCTAGAAATTCCAATACTTTTACCTTAATCGTCAAGGTGCTCCATATACAAAACCACAGACAAAATTATTATCTATAAACTGGTTTTGAGTTTCAAGTTACTCAACTTTAAACCACTCTTATAAAGTAGATGTATATTGGTGAATTTCACGCATTATGGTAAAAATCAGAAATTATCCAAATAAAAAAGGTTTTAGATAGGGTATGTCTTGGCTTGAAAGGGAAAATCGTTGGAATTTCCAAAAATTTTTTATCGCTATAAAAGGGTAACACTCATTTTACGCATTTGAATATCAGATATGGCTGTCACAGATTTCTATCAAATATTTATAATTGTAAGGGTGCAATGCAAAAGGCTTTCTTTTTAATTTTCCAGTTCATCCATTTTGGCATTCTACTTTTCACTCAACATTTTTCACATGGTTTACTTCCAGATTCAAATGAAAAAAAATATATTGTTTAAACTAGTTGATTTATAGGTTAGAAACTCCTTTTGTGGTTGCAATTGTCAGAAATTAAAATTTTAAAGAGAGCCTTTAGATCTTTAATAAGTCATGTTTGAAATATTTTATTTATGAACCATTCTGATGACGTGGGTCAGATCTCGCTCATAGTGTTGCATGTTTTGATTGATGAATTATTTATATGTGTCACAGTTTTTGTAAATATTTTTAATAAAGTAAGATACATTGGTCAATATAACAATAATTTTTGTTAAAAATACTTCATTTGGTAATTGGTTATAGTGTGCTATTTATTCTATTTTTGTCATTATTTAAGCAATTTTAATTTAAAAATTGAAATTGGCAATGTACCGATATTGATTATTATTTGATGATAATTTGCCTCTTTGTGATGGGATCTTTTTTCTCCTCTTTTACTTTCCTCTTCATCTCTTGTATCTCTATAGACGGATTCTTTTTCATGCATGTGATGGTAGTTGTTTTATTTAAACAAAGGCCCATGGTGGGGTATGACGTGCACTGACAGGTCAATCGAGATCCTATCATGTGAATTGAGGTCCAAGGTTGTGAATTGAGACCCCGGAATGTGAATTCGGGGCCAAGTATGTGAATTGTGACCCTGAGACATGAATTGGGGTGGGAGATATGAATTGAGGCCAGGGGATGTAAATTGAGATCCTAGGATGTGAATTGAGACCCTGGGATGTGAAATTGGGACCTAGGATGTGAATTGAGGCCCAGGAATATAAAACTGAGACCCTGGGATGTAAATCTGTTTATCAGAGGAGTGTAATTGATTTTTGAAGACCAAATCAGACAATACCAGCCCTCTCCTCCCCCCTCCTCCCCGCTGACCCCTTCTTGTCACCAAGATTAACTGCCTCTACCCTCCCCCCCCCCCCAGTACAACCAACCATGGGCCGTCCTATGAAACAGTTGCAGTGTATTATAATGTTCTCTCTGACTCTGGTGTCTGTTCTCTCTCTCTCTCTGTAGGATGATGAGGATATTAATGTCAAAATCACCTTCAAAGCCAAGGTACATGCACGAGGTTGGCCGTTTTGGCCACGCTGAAGCTTCTTGTTAATATTAACTCTATTCGGAGCACTTCTTGCTTCTTGTTCTAAGGGACACTCATGCACTGCCTATTAACTAACTCACTGACTAAAACTGGACCTCACAATTTTAAAGATCTCAGGCATACAAAGCCATATGTTATTGAATGATAAAGCAAAAATGTTGCATTTGATTGACAAACAGTTGGACAATTTTCTTTTGAAATTCGTTTTTTTATGTTGATGCCTTGACAAGGCAAGGAAGTGGTTTATATATTTGATAGTATTTAATAGATTAAAATATAATTGATGTTATCATCAGCCTGAAGTCTACCCGTGTGCCATGTTCAAATATGAAAAAAATATTAAATATAACCAACTAAAAGTATTCAAAAATTAAATTTTGGAAATTTGAAATTGTTGAATTAAATTTTATTTGCTTGGTAAATCATAAGTATTTATGGCAATAAATTTGGATATTGTTTGATTCTGAAAAATGAACTATTTTCTTATAAGCATAGGGCTTTTGCCATTGATGTGTGCAATGCATTATATTAATTTTTTCAACTTTAAAATGATTAATCAAATGTTCAGTAAAATGCACACACAATAGATGATGAGCACTGCCCCAGTAATGGAGGATATTCTTTTACTTGTTTCACAAGTTAAAATTTTGAGTTAATTCTATATTATTGGCATGTTTGACATTTGCATGATTAATTGCATGAGGCAGTATTATTTGGCTTACACCGTTTCTATATCTGTTTTCTTTCTTGTTGATCCATATGTGTTTTGCTCTCTTCTTTCTGGTTTAACCCTGACACCTATACCTGCAGTTCTTTTTCAAACTGTACTTGTATTTTCTTTGATGTTTTACAATGCTTTCTTCAGTTGGCCTTGTGTTTCTGCCTTTTGTTTATCTCTCTTGTCATTTGATGGCGTCTTCATTGGTTATTGTCTATTCTATAACATTGCCATGTACGTGGCTTTGTGTGCTTCATGCATGTCCTGTAAATTCAAGTAACAGCATGGTTTAATCCAGTTGGAAATGGCATGCCCCTTTTCCAGTCTATTCACATATTCAATACAGCGCCCAATCAGCGAGTCACTGTTGTCTGTTCTGCGATGTATTTCGTGTCTCTCTGTTGCATTGTGGGTGTGTCAGGGTCGTGGCACTTTTCTGTCTATCCTCGGTATGGTCTTTTTCCAGTACCGTCAAGCAGTCAGTAAACCCCCTCCTCTTAACCGACAGGGCCGCTCGTTTACCGCATTTGGCTTTGGAGCTGGTTCGTCCTCCCAGACGTCCACCTTAACGCCCCCTAGGAGAGGTTCCAGCGTCAACGTGAATGTGACCCCAACAACTGTAGACATCACCAGTGATACGCCAGAGATCAGGAAGTACAAGAAGAGATTCAGTTCAGACATCTTGTGTGCTGCATTATGGGGTAGGTAGACATTTTGTAGTTGGTAGTAGGTACACTTTTGTTGTTTACACACGTTTTCTTGGTTAAAAGGAATCTTTTTGAAATGAGTCATAAAATGAAGGAAGAATATTGCAGGATAATTTGCATAATATAAAAAAAAGCATATTTTAAATAAACTTATTTCAAATTTGTTCATTGGTAATGAGGAGCTAATGTTCTAATACTTAGTGGTTCAGAAAAGGAATAAAATTTCATAGATAACAAAATAAATCTGTGAAGGACAAAGTATTATTACTGTAATATTTTATGTGATTATGATCACAATTTTTATTTAAATAAAGGAAATAAAGTGGTAAGTAACAACTTAAATAAATATATACATAACTAAGATATAATGTTGAAAATATATATATACATATTATACCATGGCAGTTGTTGAAAACAAAAAAGAGATAGGCATGGTCTGTCTCACACTCAAACACACACACACACACAGACGTGAGCTGCATGATCTGTTTTCTTCTCTTGAACCCCGGTATGATAAATTAAAACAGATACATCACTTGCCACCCAAGCCTATTTGACAACTTCTCATGTTCCACACTCCTATACATCACATACACCTCGCTGACACAAACACCCCATTTCCATAGATTAGATCGACCTACTTTAGATCGACCTAACTCCCTGGGGGTTCACGCTAAATAGCTGTCAGCCGGGCGGACACGAAAGTTAATTACCTCCTTGCAGCTTGTAGTAGGCGGGACGGACATTTAAGTCGGATTATCTGAAGTAATCTAGTGAGACTCCCCGCGGGGATAGATCGATCTAAAATCTATGGGAATAGAGCCAAAGATAATCTGACTGGCGTGGAGACATCTTGTATTGAAATAGTAATATATATCTGAACTTATTACAGGGGTGAATTTACTGATAGGCACAGAAAATGGCCTTATGCTGTTAGACAGAAGTGGCCAAGGAAAAGGTAGGTATATTTTATATGGATGCTATTTAAAGTATTCCAGTAAGGCATATTTTGATAAACATTTTCAGTATGTTTCTCCTCAATGCCAGTTGTAATCTTTCCATTTCCACAAACATAAAAAGATCATATCCAGGCCTGTAGCCAGGGGGGGTTCGGGGGGTTCGAAAGAACCGCCCTTTTGCTGGAAAAAGGTCCACTGTGGGTAAAATTTGATTTAGGTACATGAAGTTTTTATGGGAAAAGGTCCACTTTTGAAATTGCTGGCTACGGGCCTGATATCCATAGTGCATTTAAAATGTGGTTGGTTTAAGTCATAGGACACTAATCGGTACATACGTATTCTCATGATTCCAGATGTTAACTTTCATTTTCATTTCCTTTACTTTCAGTATACCAGCTGATTTCTCGGAGGCGTTTCTCCCAGATGGAAGTTTTAGAAGGGCAGAACATTCTAGTCACAATATCTGGTAAAAAGAATCGTCTCCGAGTTTATTACCTGTCTTGGTTAAAGACGAAGATATTGAAGTCAGATGGGGTAAGTTGAAGATTGTGTTGTGACTGTCTCATCAAACACAATCATCGAATAGAGGTTGTAGTGATAAATTTATTGAATACCGTGCCAGTTTCAAAAAAAAAAAAAAAAAGAAACTGCTTCAATCAAGCATTCAATTTACTAAGAATTTTAATTGACTTTGCTATTTTGTACAAAGATTTTTAAAAAGTAATAATTGTGTTCGGCTTGAGAATAATATTTTAACTGAAAGGTGGCATAGATCTTTAAGGTACATCAGCTTCATTTATTGTTATACAGCACTTCCAGAATGCTCTTAAACCAAATATCCTTCAATCCTCGTTTTTTTTAGTCTGCTAAGCAGTCTTAATTAAGCCCAGATAATATACTTTTTGTGAAACGGCCCCTAAAACACATATTCTTGCTGGGTGTGTTGTCAGTCTGTCACCTGATGCAATGGCTAACTTATGACTTATTAGCGTAGGTCTCTTCATTGCAGACAGAGAAGAGAAATGGTTGGACGAATGTCGGGGAGTTGGACGGAGCAGTGCATTTTAAAATTGGTAAGAAATGGACAAAATTAGTGAAATAAAAACAATTCAGTATTTTGTGGCGATAAATGCTGGTTTATATCAAGTTATTGAAAATGTATATGAATTTGATATATATGTATACATTAGAAAAATGGGACTCTACGATGTTTCTAGTGATACATGAAGTAGAATATCTTTGAATGTAGTGAAATTATATTGGGTCAAGTTGGTCAGTATATTTTACATTCAAGTTAAGCCATTTTGTGCTTACCATGCTATTATTGTGATGCCTAAAAAGTTTTCTTAAAAAAGCATTTGCTATGGACTTTTCTATTTTCTCTTTCAGTAAAATATGAACGCATCAAGTTTTTGGTGATAGCCCTGCAACACAGTGTGGAAATATACGCATGGGCCCCTAAACCTTACCACAAGTTCATGGCATTTAAGGTAAACATTGCAGACATGTAGATAATCTTAACATCAGAACCAGCCATAGTTGTACTGAAAAAGTTAACGCCAAGGACCATTGGTATACATGTGTTCTGTTTCAGTACTTGAAATATTCATACAGTGCAAATATCAGAGATCTTTGAAATAGAAATCAAACTGCATACAGCTACAAGTAATTGTGAATGAAAAACATTTATAGCATAAAATCTTCTCCTGTGGTTATGACAGTTTACTCTCTAGGGAATGGCTATTGGGCAGGTTCTTAAAGAAAAGACATATTGTAAAGCAGGTTGCTCTTATTTGTAGTGGATAACAGACCTAAAACTTGAACTCTTTTCATTTTACACTCAATTCCCTTTTATTTATCTGTTTTGTCTTTGTATTCCAGTCTTTTGGAGACCTGGCAGACAAGCCGGTGATTGTAGATCTCACAGTAGAAGAAGGTCAAAGGTTAAAGGTCATCTATGGGTCACATCGAGGCTTCCATGCCATAGATCTAGATACATCGACTGTATTTGATCTGTACATTCCTTCCATGGTGAGTGAAACGACTATTTTCTGTAGTTCATGTTTTATAATGTAAAATTAAAAGGAAAAAACATTATGTTCTTCAATCAGATTATACTAAGTGAAACAGACCCAGGGTCATTTTGGAAACTGTGTGTGTCAGGGTCTTTTCCAGAGCAGAAATTTGATGTATTGACCAGGCAAATACCTTATTCTGCTCTATATCTTTGGACTTGATGTGCACAATTGCCAATTAATGAATATTGAATCTGTGTCATTTCTTATGATGTGAATCTTCTTAGGTGAAAATCACTTTGTTCTTTAGATAGTTGGGTATTTTGCTGTAAAATAAATTCTTAACTTGAATTTCTGTTTGGGAAATAATTTTATTAATCACTACAAACAATCCTGTGCATTGCATATCTTTCAGCGAAGTAAATGCATCGTAATGTTAGCGTTAAGCTCACGATAAAGTCTATGATTTTATGATATTAAATAAAATCTTTTCAAATTGTATTGTTATAAGAAAATGTAGTTAGATAAGTGGTGTTTATGGAATAAGGAACACAATAATTAACACTGGATTTTTTTTCTCTTTGCCAGTATAACAGGGGTCAGGTACTGATTGTGTGTAGCACGACACATGCATGATGAGCATGTTTTGTGTTAAGAACCCTCGTATGTTGAACAGGATACAACAGGGACTGGCTTAGAACAGATCTTTGATATGTTGTTTATTGGTATTGAATACCTATTATGTAAAAAGAAATACCATAAAATTCCTGTGATCTTGTAAGATCTAAAGTACAAATTATTTTAGATATTTGCCCAAAAGAAAAGATTTTGTTTTATGAGATATAAAGTACAAATTATTTGAAATTTTTGAACGGTAGGAATGCCCTAACGTTCTGTCCGTCTCAAATTATCAAAGTGTAAATAATTTCAGATAATGGTGTTTTGATGAAGAATAGAGACAACTGAGTGGCTACATTAATGTTAGTGGCAGTACTACTCAGTTGTGATCATGTAGATTTTGTTTCATTAAAAAAAAATCTGAAATGAGCCAGTACCTTGAGTGTCTCCCTCCTGAAGTACATATATATATGTGTTGAGAAGTTACTCCCTTCATATTAGAATTAAGTCTGACTCATATTCACCAGTTTTATTGTTACAAAGTGAATTGGGATATGTACACATATTTTTAGATGTTGTGCGGAATGTTAGCTGTTGTAAATTTATGGAAGTCCTGACACATAAGAAAATATTTAAGCCAAAACCAAAAGCCTCAAAGGCATAGAAAAACTTTTCTGGTTGTTCCTCTCTTGTAAAATATAAAAAATCAGGGAAGTACAGATATGAAGGGTGTTTCCACTATTTAGAAAATGATTTGATGCAATTTCCTTATGTGTCAGTTTGATTTTGAAAATTAGCATATTCATACATAGAGAGAAGCACATTCTTGATTTTATGTAGAGATTGAAAAAGCCAGATTTATTTTAACACTGCCTAAAGAGATTCGCTTTTATTAATCTTAAAATGTAAATATTTCTATTGAGATTTACTGCCCAGCAACCTTGCCTGGATTTTGTCTGTTAAAAGATGTAAATTGTTGTACTGGTTTGAATATATATTTTTTGCAAAACCCAAGTTGTTCTAAAAGCATGTATTTGACACCAGAAAAAATGTAAATAAGAAAAAAATTTTAGAATTATTGTAAATGTTGGAAATGACTATAATTTATCCAGATTTTTTAAAAATTCTTTCGAACTTGTTGAAATCAAATTATTTAGACTACAGGTGGAAGTAACCTTCTGTCATGCTGAATTTTCTTGGAAGTGGCCTATTTTATCCCATCTTAGTGTGTTACTAAACTGATGTATGAGTTGATCTTGACAACCGTTTTCCTTGTTCCAGAACCAAGCTCCTTTGACTCCACACACCATTGTCATACTGCCAGAGTCCAACGGAATGCAGTTACTTCTCTGTTACGACAGTGAGTGGAAATATATCTTTATTGTTCTCATATACCCATATATTTATTGAAAATAAAAGTTAATACCATATTGCCTTAATGATACACTGCTTTACTTTGGCATGTTCCTTATAGGGGTACTCAAGGAAAATCTCAGATGAAATTGTAATGCAAATATTGAACTGTGATACCGAGATTAACAGTTGAAAACAAAAGAGTTTTAGAGAAAATAGATCAAGGTTTTGGGGCAAAAGTATATATTTTATTCTGATGGGATAAATTGCTATACATTATGCCATGGTGCACTGTTCTGTAAGATAGCTCATCCTGTAACTCTTTGCTCTTTTTTCCCCATCAGATGAAGGTGTTTATGTAGATGCCAATGGAAAGATTGCCAAGAACATGGTGCTGCAATGGGGAGAGTTACCAACATCAGTGGGTGAGTGTGTGGAATGTGTTGGAGGAGACAAGATGATTGTGTTAGTTGTGATAGGATGTGGTGCTGCACTGAGGATTGTGTTCAGTGTGGTAGTTGTGACATGTAACTTATATCTTCATCTGAAATGTCAGGTATACTTTTGTGGTTTAAATGAACCTGCATTTTGCTTAAATCTGAGTTTTTATTTTTAAATAAAACTTGTACAAAAACCTGCTGAATCCAAGTGCAGGGTCGAGTAAAGTACTTATATGTGAATTGGACAAAATTGCTATCCTATCGAGGAAAATTGGATTTGACATGAAAATCCTTTATAGAAGCCCATTTTGCTATACATGTATTTCCAGATCAAAAATTTAGTATTTGTCATAATACTGTGGTCCTGTTCAAAAGTAACTGAAATTGGTAAATCATAATACAATGAAGACATTGGACTGAGAGAGGAGTTTTTAAGTTCATGAGTGATAATTGTACCTAACTTTTCTATTGCAGCTTACATCAGCACAGGGCAGATTATGGGCTGGGGCCACAAAGCAATAGAAATCCGCGCAGCCGAGACGGGGCATTTAGACGGAGTATTTATGCACAAGAAGGCTCAAAAACTGAAGTTCCTTTGTGAAAGAAATGATAAGGTTTGTGAAACTTCTATTGAATCTCATTAGAAGTAAAATAATTTCATGCTGAAGAGAAAAAACAGAGGTTTGATTAATCTGATGGTTTGGAATTGACGTGTTCGATCAACCATAAAAACAAGCAAATTAATTGGTTATCCATAATTTATTTATTCATTTAATAATATTTATATTTAGAGTGTTATGGATTACTCTAAGAATTTTAGGTCAGGGATTGTTGATATTTTGATGGGTCTCCAACTTCTTGTGCTCTTGCTAGGAATCATTAATTAAAATCTCTAAAGATGTTTTAAATTTGTTTTCACAGTAGTTAAAACAGAACACCAAATGTTAATTAAATTCAATTTTTAATCACCAGTTTGCGATATCATTGTTTTGATATTTACAGGTATTTTTCTCCTCTATACGATCCGGTTCTACATGCCAAATATACTTTATGACACTGAACAAACCAGGACTGACTAACTGGTGAAAAAAAAACAAACTTCAGAATGACTCAACAGAATATAACTGAGGAAAATACAACGAACTGCTTAACTTGGTCCAGAAGATAAATCTTGGAGACTCTGATCACTAGACACAGACAGGGTTTCCAAAAAAAAGCATTCATTGTGTTTGGCGAAGAAGAGAGTTTATTTCTAACTCCACCATCATTGCTCAGCAAAGCAACACCAACAAAGAGACAGAACGGTTACTTTTTATTAACATTTCCAAGAAAGAAAATGACATTTGGAAGATTTAATGGACATAAGGGCCCTGAGTATATTAAGTGCAAATAGCTTACTTGCATTCAGCAAAAGAATAGGGATTTACATCTTATTTATTAGGTCAAGGGAGATTTTCTCTGGGTGACATTTCTTAGGCCAAAAGAATATTCTGTGAAGTGCCCATTTCACAGTAGCCTGTGACAGGGTGATACAAGACACCAATTACTCATTCCACCAAATAAAGAGATTCAAATGTTTGTTTGTTTAGTGGTCATGACAGTAAAGGTGAACAGTAACCAGTGCTTATTGATAAGACAATGTCTCCACTGCCATTACGTTTATCATGTCTGAAGATTGCCCCCTCAATCCACCTCTCATCGATTGGTTGGAAATGATGCCATGGAGCTCTTTCAGGTCCTCCACATTGTATCCTGTTTGGATGTGATTGGTTTTGAAATTCTGAAATCTGAGTGAAGTTGTGTCTGAAAACTGCTTATTATGAAAAGGTTTTATATTTGGAAAGCTGATTCTTTCTCAGAAAAAAAAAAGAAATCTGTGTAAATGCTGAGCACTTGATGTAGTGTACACTTGGGCTGTACATTGCCTCCCAGAGGAATGAAGTGATAAGCAAAGGCGCAAATCAGATGTTCAAACCATCCTCTCTTCATTAAGACAGGGTTAAGGGACAGTATAAAGTAATAGTGGGTGAAATGTGAATACCAATTGTAACTGAATCTCATCAGGACCCAGTAAAGTGTCACAACAATATTTAGCAGCAACATTGTATCATAGTCAGTGTTAAAACTGACCTCAATTATAATGTAATGATACATTGTATCATTATTTCATTATGGATGTTTCTACAGCAAGGTAAAAAGTGTATGTCACTGTCTAGAACAGTTAATATGCAACCGAGTGTCAGGAGTCTTGCTGGCTTTGAATTCAACAACCCGTATAGAAAGATGGCCATGTGAAGATGCTTTTGGTGCTGAAAATGTTTAAATGAATGAGATTGAACTATTTTCCAGTTTTATGTATAGATTATAGCTTTATATCTGATATGTAATGTCAAGATTTTAAGAGTCTGTGTAAATGTGCCAGTAGTCATAGAGTGTTTTGGTTCAAGCACATTATCTTCAACAATGGGCAAATTTAATTGATCTCTTACCACAATGTAATTAGTTGCCAAATATTTACTATTTCATTATAGGTTTGTTACTTCATTCATATAACAATGTACTTTAAGTTTAGATATAACTTGTTGTCCTGGTAAGCTACATATTTTGTATCTGCAGGTTATAAGGTTGTCATATACAGATATGCACTGGGTATGAACCATAGCTTGTTACAGCAAATTTGCTAACATTTTTTTGGAAAATTTGCAAAATATGTGACAAAATGGTGTGCAAGATGCATTTTATTTTGGTTTTGGCAAGTTTTTGAAGCAGGAAATTCAGAACATAAAATTAATTGTCTCTTCCATCTGTTGCATTAAGTTTCTGACAGCATGAATAGAAATTCGTTCTTCGGCTTCTCTTGTCAGGTCAGCGCCATCTCACGTTAGTATTTATATTTCACAGTCAAGGTCATTAGTTTGGTGAAGGTGACGGTCCCTTGGATGGTTCAAGACGTCCAGGAAAACAATTTGCTTACAGCTTTCGCACTGAATTTTTTACCATTTTTTTAATGGAACGCCATTAAGCAAGATCTTCATTTGCAACATTTTGCTTTTTCTTCGTCTGAGGTCATATGTTAAATGTAAAGGATATGTATTTGGTAAAATATGCTTAAAAATGTACAGGCATTTCTGAACTGGTACTTGTAACTATCAATGAATATAAATAAATATTTAATATAAAGCTCCATTGATAATGCTGTTTTTATTTAAATTTTTATTAAAAGAAAAATAGCTCCTGCGTGTAGCCTATCCGGTCTTAAACACCATTTAAGCGGCCAACTGGTGAGTTTGTGAATAAGCTTGAATGAATAAGCTTAGATTTATCTGACAGTCAACATTTTATGCTGCCGCGAAATAATACCGTAGACCGTTCCCCATTACTTAGTACAGGTGACATTTGTCCCATATACAGGTACTAACCCCAATACTCCAACTAACCCTAACCTGTACTAATTATATGGGAGTCTGGACTTCCATTCCTAGGACTTCCATTCCTGTCACACCGTCATTGACGTAGCCTACTCGTGATTGCGCAAAGTGGGTCTAACTAGGACGCAATAACATTACTCATCAAGGCTGGATAGCACTGCCAAGTGGTACAAATGGTAGCTTATCCGGAGAATATCAGTGTTTCATCAAGTCGACAATAATGGATAGTGCTATCCAGAGGATAAATCGGCTTATCCAGAGGATAAAGTTGTCCACTCGAAATTGCTATCAGTATGTTGCTTGGGTCCATGTGATCGTTCGAGAATTTACCCCCAGCCGGACAATAATCCTTTCAACTTTTGTGATCCTTTTCATTTGAATTCTGTATATTGTTACACGTCTGGCACCATTTATATATTGTTATCATCCAAACTTTCGTTGAAATGAGGGTTGTTGCTCTGGCCTTTTAATCTCTTGATAAAAGTGATGTAATCTTATGCCATTGGCGGCCATTTTGACATTTGGAAGTCCCATTTTAATCTGAGCATAGGCCTTATCTGAAGAAAGAGACACAGCTTCATTTATTGACATCCGTGCAAACTTATCTTATGCGTGAGTTGCTGAATTAGTAAATATAGTGAAGGCCAAACAATTCACAAGTTTATCAAAAAAATGATAAAACTAGTTAGATTGCTAAGAAGTGTATTTTGTAGCGGGTTTCTCCTCAGTCTAAATTTCTGTATATTTGTGGAGAAGGCCGTACCAGTGTCCATTGTTGTGTTAAACGGTCCACCCACCGGCGTTTGGACCCAAAAAAAGAACAAGTCTTTTGAAAAGTTCATAAACATGTAATTATCTCCATACACAACGGTCATAAACATCGCCATAGCACCTTTGTCCAGCATCGTCCCTGTATTTGAAGGTACGTCACATCGGACTCGGACCACCATACGATATCAGTGTCAGCGGTTGAATGAATGCTGTCCATGTAAGCTGACCTTTCACAACAATTATTTTTCAAAAAGATGAAAACCCGTTGACATCTGTGATGATCTGTCAATATATTAGGAGAGACAGGGGCTAGTTGGACCCCGGGGTGATCAATTCTTGTACCCATAGTTACTTTGTTATAAGTTGATGGGGGGCCAACTTACCCCGGGGTCCAACTAGCCCAGGTCTCCCCTACGTAAGCACGGCAGGAGTTGGCCGTCGAACGCGGAGAGGTTTATTCTATATAACATGTCTAGAGCTGGTTATTGGAACGCTTTATTCGGTTTAAGGGGCGTTTTGCGGGAATTGAGAATATATATTGTCTCTTGGATTGTATGCGAAATAATTCACTGTCATCCTCTCCAGATTTAAAGCTTGAACGGCTCACATGTGTCACATGTATGTAATACCCTGAAATAAAGCAAAAAAACAATACCCATTACCATAAATCCATCCACTTCCCTGTGTGAGATATTAGATATATAAACCAGCTATGACTGGGTGTTCTTTTCTGTACTTTATAATTGTAAATACAAACCTATAGTTATATAGCCTTACTGATATATACTCTTTATTTTGGTTTGAGGGAAGTTTTTCGGTAAAATGCAAGTACTTTCTCTCGGTATGAATGTCAATTTACAATTACACAGCCATCTTCTCACGACATATGCCTTGAGCACCTCTCGCTGATGCACGAAGTGTTTAGGCATTTATCGCTAGGTTTTATTATTTCACACTTATTGCTGTATGACCTAGAACAACGGACAAGAAGTAGGCCTATTATCTGTCCATACATGTCAAGTGATATGGTATTTGACCATTGCGATTTACGCTTTAATCTAGTTTAGGGATAATATGGCAGTGAAATTCAAGAAGCCCGTTTTGTAGACGGATGACCCGTGAGGTTGCAAAGATATCAGATACTTATCAAGCATTGCTGTTGTTTGTGTGCAGGTGTTGCGTAATAAAAACTGAAGGAAGTATTATTTCTCTTCCTGACCTCTGCGAGACAAAAGCACCTGTGACACGCTTTTTGACCAGAAACGTCCCACCACTCCATAATTGAGGGAGCTTGACAGAACGCACCTGGAACGTTCACCAAAAGTGTAAAAATGGCTGAAGGAATCAGAGTATCTTTTTCCAAGGGGAAACGTCCGAGGTAGGTTTTTATTATTAAACGTATATTAAACATTGCTGTGGAATCAATCGGTGACATGTGCGAGTTTTTCATTCGAAATCAGTAATTAACATAGGCGAGTACATTTTGGTAGGTATATCACAATCCGCTAGGGGCGCCACAGTAGAAACTGTCCAGCGGCAGTGAAGTGCAAAGCTGTGACAGGCCTGCTGACAGGGGGCGAATGACATCCTTTTTGAAATCTCTTTTTTAGCGCTGTGTAGACAAACCAATACAACCCATTGACTTAGTAAGCTGTCAATCAAAGGCTAAATCCCGGTCATGTGACTTTCCCATGTTGCTATCTTTGAGGACGTTGATTTGCCGATGTTTTAAAGTTTTGCCTCGACGAAATTTTTTTTTTTTCAGATTAGGACTGCATCATTGTTTTTTTTTTAATTTATAGCATTAAATAGTGCAAAACATTTGCAACATAATGGAACAAACCCCATGAAAATTGAACGAACGAAGTACGGTTAATTTGATGCGCGAGATTACATGCTGTTTACTGAGGCCACCCCAGCCATGCGCGTATGGTGCGCAGGTGTGGTACAATTATTACACAATATAATCATATAGACATTTTTTTATAAAGATCTTTGATTAATCATTCCTCTTTTATTTATGCCTTTATATAATTGAAAATCATTCAAGTTTTTTTTTTTAAGTAAGAAACCTAGATACATGTATAAATTACCCTATTGCCACAGGGAGAGAGCTTTGCCCTGATTAGTCATAGGCTTTGCCCTGATTGGTCATTGGTCATGTGAGCTAGACAATAGGCTCTGTACACAAAGCCCCACACACAGGGTGCTCTGCTGCGCCTGAGTGATCACTGCAAGTATTATAATTTTCTGATCAGTTTGAAAATTTTTCTGATATACCTAATTTTGGGGCAAAAACTGAAAAATTGGTTTCTTTAATTTCTCTTTTACCGGAAGACCCACGATCGCCGTTTCAACGCCTAATGAATGACACCATTTAGTACTCCAAAATCCTGCCAGCTATTTTTAAAGGTCTTCGTTCATATTTTATCGTTGATAAAACAAAATAATGCGTTTATTGAAAATCTGTTAGGGGCTCAACAACTCCATAACAAAAAAATTGGATCAAAATGACGCTACGGGATCGTAGCCTATACACTCGTTACCAACTCTGCCAATTTTCGTGATATACTCTTGTTCAAGGATGAAGTTATGCCCATACCGATTGCTATCTCACCTGAAAATAGAAAGGTGTTATATTGACTATTAAAGCTTTGAGTTGCCAAAGCTTATACATTGCTGCGATGAAATGTAGTGACCATTCCCACACCCTATCGTACTAACTGTGGATCGATCTATCTCCAAGGGGATTCTCGCCAAATTGCAATCATTTAAGGAGGCTTATATGACTGTCACGCCTACTGAAACTGCTAGGGGTAATAATTTATCGTTTGGAAGCTTCAGAAAGCGTGCTAGATATCTAAGCCGCTGAAGCTATTGAGTCTGAGGACAATTTAAAAAAAGAATTAAAAACTTCTATTTTCAAAAAGGTTTTATAACTAATTTGACTGGCTGTTATCTTTTACATTGTGTTATCTATTTTGATATCTTAGTTGGACTTAGNGGTCCATTGGTCCAAAGGTTCTATAGTGAACATTCGGACCAATGAACCTTCGGACTATTGAACCTTCGGACTATCGCTACGGCCCCGTTCCATATACAGGTACTAACCCCAATACTCCCAACTAACCCTAACCTGTACTAATCATATTGGAGTCTGAACTTCCATTCCTGTCACACCGTCATTGACGTAGTGAGTGCGCAAAGTGGGTCTAACTAGGACGCAATAAAACATTACTCATCAAGGCTGGATAGCACTGCCAAGTGGTACAAATGGTAGCTTATCCGGAGAATATCAGTGTTTCATCAAGTCGACAATAATGGATAGTGCTATCCAGAGGATAAATCGGCTTATCCAGAGGATAAAGTTGTCCACTCGAAATTGCTATCAGTATGTTGCTTGGGTCCATGTGATCGTTCGAGAATTTACCCCCAGCCGGACAATAATCCTTTCAACTTTTGTGATCCTTTTCATTTGAATTCTGTATATTGTTACACGTCTGGCACCATTTATATATTGTTATCATCCAAACTTTCGTTGAAATGAGGGTTGTTGCTCTTGCCTTTTAATCTCTTGATAAAAGTGATGTAATCTTATGCCATTGGCGGCCATTTTGACATTTGGAAGTCCCATTTTAATCTGAGCATAGGCCTTATCTGAAGAAAGAGACACAGCTTTATTTATTGACATCCGTGCAAACTAGTCTTATGCGTGAGTTGCTGAATTTGTAAACATAGTGAAGGCAAAACAATTCACAAGTTTATCAAAAAAAATGATAAAACTAGTTAGATTGCTAAGAAGTGTATTTTGTAGCAGGTTTCTCCTCAGTCTAAATTTCTGTATATTTGTGGAGAAGGCCGTACCAGTGTCCATTGTTGTGTTAAACGGTCCACCCACCGGCGTTTGAACCCAAAAAAGAACAAGTCTTTTGAAAAGTTCATAAACATGTAATTATCTCCATACACAACGGTCATAAACATCGCCATAGTACTTTTGTCCAGCATCGTCCCTGCATTTGAAGGTGCGTCACGTCGGACTCGGACCGACCATACGACATCAGTGTCAGCGGTTGAATGAATACTGTCCATGTAAGCTGACCCTTCACAACAATTATTTTTCAAAAAGATGAAAACCCGTTGACATCTGTCAATATATTAGGGGGGACAGGGGCTAGTTGGACCCCGGGGTGATCAATTCTTGTACCCATAGTTACTTTGTTATAAGTTGATGGGGGGCCAACTTACCCCGGGGTCCAACTAGCCCAGGTCTCCCCTACGTAAGCACGGCAGGAGTTTGCCGTCGAACGCGGAGAGGTTTATTGTATATAACATGTCTAGAGCTGGTTATTGGAACGCTTTATTCGGTTTTAGGGGTGTTTTACGGGAATTGAGAATATATATTGTCTCTTGGATTGTATGCGAAATAATTCACTGTCATCCTCTCCAGATTTAAAGCTTGAACGGCTCACATGTGTCACATGTATGTAATACCCTGAAAAAAAAGCAAAAAAACAATACCCATTACCATAAATCCATCCACTTCCCTGTGTGAGATATTAGAGATATAAACCAGCTATGACTGGGTGTTCTTTTCTGTACTTTATAATTGTAAATACAAACCTATAGTTATATAGCCTTACTGATATATACTCTTTATTTTGGTTTGAGGGAAGTTTTTCGGTAAAATGCAAGTACTTTCTCTCGGTATGAATGTCAATTTACAATTACACAGCCATCTTCTCACGACATATGCCTTGAGCACCTCTCGCTGATGCACGAAGTGTTTAGGCATTTATCGCTAGGTTTTATTATTTCACACTTATTGCTGTATGACCTAGAACAACGGACAAGAAGTAGGCCTATTATCTGTCCATACACGTCAAGTGATATGGTATTTGACCATTGCGATGTACGCTTTAATCGAGTTTAGGGGTAATATGGCAGTGAAATTCAAGAAGCCCGTTTTGTTGACGGATGACCCGTGAGGTTGCAAAGATATCAGATACTTATCAAGCATTGCTGTTGTTTGTGTGCAGGTGTTGCGTAATAAAAACTGAAGGAAGTATTATTTCTATTCCTGACCTCTGCGAGACAAAAGCACCTGTGACACGCTTTTTGACCAGAAACGTCCCACCACTCCATAATTGAGGGAGCTTGACAGAACGCACCTGGAACGTTCACCAAAAGTGTAAAAATGGCTGAAGGAATCAGAGTATCTTTTTCCAAGGGGAAACGTCCGAGGTAGGTTTTTATTATTAAACGTATATTAAACATTGCTGTGGAATCAATCGGTGACATGTGCGAGTTTTTCATTCGAAATCAGTAATTAACATAGGCGAGTACATTTTGGTAGGTATATCACAATCCGCTAGGGGCGCCACAGTAGAAACTGTCCAGAAGTGCAAAGCTGTGACAGGCCTGCTGACAGGTGGCGAATGACATCCTTTTTGAAATCTCTTTTTTAGCGCTGTGTAGACAAACCAGTACAACCCATTGACTTAGTAAGCTGTCAATCAAAGGCTAAACCTCGACGATATGTTTTTTTTTTTTTCAGATTAGGACTGCATCATTGTTTTTGTAATTTATAGCATTAAATAGTGCAAAACATTTGCAATATAATGGAACAAACCCCATGAAAATTGAACGATGCGAAGTACGGTTAATTTGATGCGCAAGATTACATGCTGTTTACTGAGGCCACCCCAGTCATGCGCGTATGGTGCTATGTGCGCAGGTGTGGTACAATTATTACACAATATAATCATATAGACATTTTTTAAAAAGATCTTTAATTAATCATTCCTCTTTTATTTATGCCTTTATATAATTGAAAATCATTCAAGTTATTTTTTTAAGTAAGAAACCTAGATACATGTATAAATTACCCTATTGCCACAGAGGGAGAGCTTTGCCCTGATTAGTCATAGGCTTTGCCCTGATTGGTCATTGGTCATGTGAGCTAGACAATAGGCTCTGTACACAAAGCCCCACACACAGGGTGCTCTGCTGCGCCTGAGTGATCACTGCTGGGCAGTGGTCACAGGTGCTTGGCTGAGAAGTGAGAACACTTTTGGTGTAATTTAGCTGTTTGAAAACTTCAATATCTTTGTTGCTTGTAGAAATATTTTAAAAATTCCAAAAGAATTCCTCTCTGCTTTGCATTACCTTTCAGAAGATATAAGTATTATAATTTTCTGATCAATTTTTCTGATACACCTTATTTTGGGGCAAAAACTGAAAAATTGGTTTCTTTAATTTCTCTTTTACCGGAGGACCCACGATCGCCGTTTCAACGCCTAATGAATGACACCATTTAGTACTCCAAAATCCTGCCAGCGATTTTTAAAGGTCTTCGTTCATATTTTATCGTTGATAAAAAAAAAATAATGCGTTTATTGAAAATCTGTTAGGGGCTCAACAACTCCATAACAAAAAAATTGGATCAAAATGACGCTACGGGATCGTAGCCTATACACTCGTTACCAACTCTGCCAATTTTCGTGATATACTCTTGTTCAAGGATGAAGTTATGCCCATACCGATTGCTATCTCACCTGAAAATAGAAAGGTGTTATATTGACTATTAAAGCTTTGAGTTGCCTAAGCTTATACATTGCTGCGATGAAATGTAGTGACCATTCCCACACCCTATCGTACTAACTGTGGATCGATCTATCTCCAAGGGGATTCTCGCTAAATTGCAATCATTTAAGGAGGCTTATATGACTGTCACGCCTACTGAAACTGCTAGGGGTAATAATTTATCGTTTGGAAGTTTCAGAAAGCGTGCTAGATATCTAAGCCGCTGAAGCTATTGAGTCTGAGGACAATTTAAAAAAAGAATTAAAAACTTCTATTTTCAAAAAGGTTTTATAACTAATTTGACTGGCTGTTATCTTTTACATTGTGTTATCTATTTTGATATCTTAAATTCTAAACTCTCCATATATTTATATACATTATACTACACATTTTAATATCTTAATTTCTGAACTGCCTATTTATTTGGAAGCCAGTATAAAAAGTCGCACAGCATTGCACTAAAGTCATGGTAAATGCTCTTGAACAACGAGAGTAGGAAATTGATGACCCATTTTAGATACTTGGACTCTCTGTTAACAGGCTAATACAATTGTATTCAAATACCTTAGCGCTGTTTTGCAGCACAATGACTATGGGTAACCTGAACCATGAAAAGGATTGCCCATCTAGACTAATTCGAATCATACCTCTTAAGAGATTATTACGTAGGTATAGCCATCAATGGCGCATCTGTTGTTAAATTTGTTTTTTAAGATTTCTCGAGGGACTAGTAAGACGTTTAGGCCACACTTTTTTATTTTTATGGATGACATCCTGCGCGCGCACCGATTTTCGTCCGTTCTCCAAAAAAAAAAAATTCCCCTTCCCCCCCCCCCCCCCAAGGAAGTCGG